CTATGATTCTATGATTCTATGATTCTTGTAAGCATTAAGACATCTAGTTCAACAAATAAGCTCATGAAAGTAATAACAGCACACAAAACCAGGTTAACCCAATGCCTTCAGTCTTCCCTCATTAGTGAATTGTTTAACACTTCAACATATAGTAGAGGAGGATAACCAATGGTAACTAGTGGCAAATAATAATAAAAAAAATCAAATGCTTATCCAGAACCAAGACATTTTGCTCTATTCACTTTCCCATCACTTCTAACAGTCTCAGAATTTGTATACATGTTTCTATTTACCATCGCTTGCAGCTTGCTGACCTCGATCACCTGTAGAAAAATCATTCAGTGAATAAATGCAAAGTACCTTTCACAGCTTCTTCTACAGGAAGCCCAACAAAGGCCGCGAAATCATCTGCAACTATTGAGGTATATGCCTGAGAAACCAGTCCAAAGGCTCGTCTCCTAGTTGCATCTAAGAAGAGATAAACACTGTAAGCAGATAGTAGTTCTCCGTAACTAGGAAATCTGAGAAAATTTTTTTAATTCTAGCACATGTGGAAGACCACCACCACCCTTAAAGCTAGCACTTTAGAAGTTCTCCCTCCCTTGCCACTATTTACTGAAGTACCACAGTCAGCAGCCAGAGACAAGAGCTTGCTCCATGCCGGGACAAAGTCCCTCAGAAACCACAACTTCCAAAAGCAGCTTGCGGCATTTTGGGTACTACCACCAGTATGTAAACCAGTTTAGGAAACTCTGCTTCTGACAGAATTCTCCATTTGCAATAAGCTTTTATGTCAAGTAGTTCACACTCAAAAAAAAAGCCATGAAAATAGCAATTAGTCCAACTGTTCATGTGTTTTTAACCACATCTGCTTTGATACCCAGGCAAATCCGTCGTTTCTAAAGCTACAAAGAATTTGTCACTTCAAAACACCTCGGAAGGCTTTTTAGCAGTCTGCACTGCCCTCTAGTAGCAAGACTTTGCATGTCACTGTTGCACAGTCTATAACTAAAATATTTGTCTCAAGCCACATTTAAAAGTGAAACTTATTACCTAAGTGTCACAAGGTTCTGGAATGCCAAGCCAAGTTCCCTAGCTTACTGGTTAAAAGTGTGATAAAACTGGACAACTAAACGTCTGGTTTGCTATTACAGAACAAAACATATGGTACATGTATATTCTTTCACATTGGAAAGTCAGTCTCACACACAATCCTAATTAATAAAAACATTTCAGTTTGTTTCTACCAGCTTTTGCAACGCGCTTTTTCTTTACACCTGATAAATAAATTCCTTTATGTAACACCTACAAAAACTCAGCAATCTTCCTGACCACTTCTGACTTTTCCTAAGTAGTCACTTGTCTATTTGTGTGAGCACACAGAAATCATTCAAGGCAACGAGTAATTCCATACTACCTACAGAAACTGAGTTTGTACCTCTAAGTGCTTCCATGATTGGTTGAATAGTCTCGGACCACTGATGTGCACTGATTGTTGTATAGATTCCCGGAAAGTCTCTCTGCCAGATTCTTTGTCCTACTGACCACACTGCACCAAGTTCAGCATTTGCCTGTTGAGACAAAACCATCACCATTTAATCCAGAAGTGTGTATTCTCTGCAGTGAATATTCTGTATAAGCCCATTTCTGCTCCCCTCCCTTTCTCACCGCGTGTGGAGAAATCTTGCTCTAGCAGGTATCACCACTGCAAGCTCCCTGATCCATCCTCTGCCAAAACTTTGGCATCCACATAAGCAAAGTCTGCTCACACGTCAGTTACATAAGGAAGATGCACGTCAGTCAGATATAAGGAAGAAATTCTTCACTCTGAGGGTGGTGAGGCACTGGAACAGGTTGCCCAGAGAAGTTGTAGATGCCCCATCCCTGGAAGTGTTCAAGGCCAGGTTGGATGAGGCTTTGGACAACCTTGTGTAGTGGAAGGTGTCCCTGCCCATGGCAGGGGGGTTGGAACGAGATGATCTTTGAGGTCCCTTCCAACTCTAACCATTCTACGATTCTACACCAAACCAGGCTGAGGTACCAGCTAAAACAATCATGGAGGAGAGTTTACACTCACACTTTTGCTGACTGGAGTCACAAAAGGACAGGCACAGTGTATTTTCTGCTTAGAGAGATGCTTGCCTCCTCAGCAGAGGCTTTGTGAAGTGCAGAGGGTGTTTGCAGTGGAGACAATTTTCAATTTGAAGTTTCGTCTTGCAATCTTGACAATAGGTCACACTTAACATGGCACCGTACTCACTACAACTGCTCTCCCACTACTGGTTTTAAGGGCTACTCCTACTGTGTTACACACTCGTTTGGTCAACTGGACTCCAGAACAGCCTGTCAGAACAGCAACCACACACCGAGCTGAGTAATAAAGAAATGTTTTCAAATGTAGAGAGAACCAATTTGTTTCTGAAGTTCAGACTCATACTAAGCAGAAGATTCATCAACACATACACCTGAGAAAATACTATGCTTTGAGGTGTGACCTTCCCAAAATCATTCATGAAATGAACTTCCCGCCACCAAGAATGATGCTTCACAAGAAACGCAAGTTACACCAAAAAAGCCAGACTGATTATCCACAGAATATTGCCATGCAACAAATGCAGCAAGTTTCAGAGAAAGTACAAGGAAAATTTGATCGAGATGACTGATGACTCAACTGTTGTCATTACTTTTTTTTCTTAAAAGAGAAAGAAAACTATTCCAGAACCACCTGACAAGTCCCATCTTGACCATGAGTTTTTTTAATAAAAGACTACAGAACACTTGTTTCCTTGCAAAATTATGATCTCAAACTAAAAAACTAGCAACAGTAAAGTCCAAAAGCATTTCTGGTGTTGTATTTACCTAAAATCTCAAACTGTGTCTTTGATCCAAACGCAGGGCACAAAACTGCCTTCAGAAAGTTGATCAGTTTGAAGGTGCACCGTGCCTGAAGTCACATTTCGAGGTATTCCACACCCTCGTGTGGCACGTGGCCCCATCCCAGGATCAGATGCACTGCTTTCCCCCTTTATCATGAGGCTTTTTACCAAAAAAGTCTACTGATTTACTCAATCCTATTGCACCACATTATTTGTGAAGGAACAGAGGTAACAGATGAGCAACCAGGAGATCTTGAAGACCAACGTGCCACCTGCTGGGCAAGCAGTTCTCAGCACAGAACTGAGCCCAAGGCTACTCAAACAGAATTCCTTATGGGGAAAAGAGTCATTATTTGCAAGCTTATATGAAACTGGTTTAGTATCAAATGGCATTTTTATGAAGTACTTACAGATTTGATAGCAGGAGGGATTCTTTTCCAAAGATACCGTGCGTTATTCCTAAAAAAAAAAAAATTAAAAATACTTCTCAGTAACCAAATGTTTGCTACAGGGAGATACCAAAAGGTTTGTTCAGATGCTACAATTAACAATCTCAGAGGTTTAAAATATTCCTCTGTATCTCCTGAAGTAGGAAACAAAGTTGCTCTCAAGTAGACAACATGATTGTAATAATACAACCAATGGTTCATTAACAACCTCATTTAAAACCAGTTTAGAAAAGTTTTTTCGTTTATCTACTCCAGGCAGCATTTCATTAAAGTTACTTTTGCATTTTTAATTTTGGAATAGCTGCATCTTTGACGAATATATGTACAAATAGCAACTTTTCACAGTCTCAGTAGTCATTTAGATCAGGTCTCCAAACTTTGATCACACACTTCCAGCAGAACAACATTTTTGAGAATGCAGCCTCAGCATATTATGAATTAATACAATAGAACATGTATATGATTTATAAATATATTATTTACATTATAAAGCACATCAATATAGAAGTTTAAAAGGACGAAATAAACACCATTTAAAGATAATTTCATTTTACTTACTATTAGTACAAAAATACTTTCTTCATGTGCCCACACCCCACTTTGTATACCAAAGCTTTAAACTGTTTTGCTCTTCCCAACCCAACTGTCATGCACACTCTGAAGGTTTTGGACATATTGAAATATTTAGTCATTAATCTTTAGAGCACAGAAGTCTAAAACTGAAATGATTACAAATTCTCAAAAAGATTTAAAAAGCAAAATAAAGAAAAGAAATCACTGTTTTTTCATTAAAAACGCAATTCTAAAACTTCACCTTTATTTGAATCAAGGTTATCTGCATTAAATCTAATACTCAGTATCGGTGTTCAGGGAATTTGCTCTGAAAGAATAAACACCTACAATGAAAGAAAACACTCAAACCTTGGAATCCCCACACAAACACTTATTTTGGCTTGATAATCAAACACAGCAGCATTATTTATTCTGCCTGAATAAGTAAGCCGCAATTTCTCCATAAAATCCTAAACATAGCAAATGGAGCTCACACAGGGACATGGTGATAATCCACCAGATCAAATTCAAAGGATTACTGCTTTGTGCAGGTTTAGCTCACTTCAGTCAGAATCACAGAATGGTTTGGGTTGGAAGGGACCTCAAAGATCACCTAGTTCCAACCCCCCTGCCACGGGCAGGGACACCCTCCACTACACCAGGTTGCCCAAAGCCTCATCCAACCTGGCTTTGAACAACTCCAGGGATGGGACAACCACAGCTTCTCTGGGCAACCTGGTCCAGTGCCTCACCACCCTCAGGGTGAAAAATTTCCTTCTTAGATCTAATCAAAATCTCCCCTCTTTCAGTTTAAAGCCATTGCCCCTTGTCCTGTCACTACACACCCTTGGAAAAAGTCCCTCTCCAGCTTTTCTGTAGGCCCCCTTTAAGTACTGGAAAGCTGCTAGAAGATCACCCCGGAGCCTTCTCTTGTCCAGGCTGAAGAGCCCCAAATCTCACAGCCTGTCTCCATAGCACAGGTGCTCCAGCCCTTGGATCATCTTCATGGCCCTCCTCTAGACCTGCTCCAGCAGCTCCATGTCCTTCTTGTGCTGGGGACTCCAGAGCTGAACACAGTATTCCAGGTGAGGTCTCACGAGAGCAGAGCAGAAGGGCAGAATCCCCTCCCTTGACCTGCTGCCCACGCTGCTTTGGATGCAGCCCAGGACACGGTTGGCTTTCTGGGCTGCCAGTGCACATTGCCGGCTCATGTTGAGCTTCTCACCCACCAGCACTCCCAAGTCCTTCTCCTCAGGGCTGCTCTCAATCCATTCTCCGCTCAGCCTGGACTTGTGCTTGGGATTGCCCTGACCCACGTGCAGGACCTTGCACTTGGCCTTGTTGAACCTCATGAGGCTCTTGCAGGCCCACCTCTCAAGCCTGTCAAGGTCCCTGTGGATGGCATCCCTTCCCTCCAAGCATGTCCACCACACCACACAGCTTGGTGTCATCTGCAAACTTGCTGAGGGTGCACTCCATCCCACTGGACAGTTTAGAGTTGCCCTGCTACAACCAGACACAACAAGGAGCATGCAATCTCACCCAAAAGAAATGCAGCCTTGAAAAGGTACAAATCAAAACACTGAAGTGTTCAACACTTTCCAAAGGAGCCAATTTCATTATTTAAGGAACTTTCTTCCTAAAGCATACCTGTTTCTGTACAGTTCAAAAGGGTGGGCAAGAGCTAACAAAGGAGAATAGTCTTCCTGACAGAGTAAGGGGTGAGAGAGACTTAATTCTGTGAATTATTTTCTTAAAAAAACACAGCACTGCCTACATGCATTTTGTTAGTCACACAACCAGTTACTAATATTGTGGCAACTACAGCTCGATCTAATAGTGACAAATCCAGTACCTGAAGTTAAAGATTAATACAAGTCACTTACATGTCATTATGCAACAGGTACAAAGCTAGAAGTTGGCCATAAACAAGGGGCGTTGCAATTCCTCCAGGGGCCTGAAAAACACGTACAAATAATTTGGTTACATATTTTAAGAGCAAGATATCTTGTAAAACCCATCAGGTAGCCAAGTTGAATGAAACCTGAACATTCCAAGACAATTGATGTTTTTCCTACCACATAACAGGTCTGGACAAATTGTCAGAGTTCCAGTGTTATAGTAAAACAGTTGTGTCTTACCATGAAGAGTTAACTTGCACATGCCAGAAGTTTTCCTTAGAAAACTTTGGTTTGCTGCACGAATAAAGTAAGGTTCTATCTTTCTAACAATCTAGCTTAGGCTCACGAAAGTGGTAATCATCTTGCTTTGACACTTGCCACGCTTCAGCAGACCTCACAAATCATCCAAGTAGGAAAAAAGGAATTACGATAAAGTTATAAAATTTTGAAAGTCTGTAATCATTCAAAAGCTGAAAATATTTCCAATAAGGTTTTAGCAATTTATCACAGGACAGTGCAGAAAGCGACACAGGAAGCCAATTATGCAGCTATTTGATTTAATTGCATGTGATTTATAGGCCAAAAGCAGGTGATTTGCTGTGTCACTGAGCAGATATCATCGTCCTCAGCTATTTTTACACTGTTTCCAGTGCTCATCACCTATAGACACAACATTTCTGCAACTGTTCCTTGGATTAAGCCCAGTGAAACAAAGCCAGGTCATTTAATACCACCTGTTTGAACTGTGTAAGTCCACCTTGGGTGTTTCTCTGCAGTAAATACAATAAAAATCACTACTTCATCTGAGAGAAGACAGTGGAACAGAACTGAAAGCCAACTACCATCAAAACAGCTAGATTTACAATCTACAGTCTTACTGAAGGGAGCTCTGTGGCTGCACCTAGCCTGCAAAAACATCAGCCTGCATGTCAACTCACAATCTGAGACACGACTGCCACATGACATTAACATGCCCCCAAGAACCTTGATATGGATGCAGACGTGCACAGCAATTAACTTACCAGCTTTGTCAAAGCTTTCAGGAACAGTTTACTGAAAGCTGCTGTTTCCTGCAGGAGACTCTGCTGACAGACACAACAAACCTTGGGCAGAGCACAGTCTAAGATGGGTGGCTTTGTAGCAGCTCCTGAGGACCCACCGAGGTTTAACACCACACACACCGCAGCAGGGAAGCGAGGAGGATACATTCAACTTCCTCAGATGCCCACAGAAGCAAAATCCAAAGGCTGCTGGGCTCCATCCCTGTCACTCAGAATTCAGACTGACACAACCACTCCGGAGAGGCCAAGAAGGCATCCAAACCCACTGCAAGTCAGGTTCAAACAGATTACCCCAACCAAGTCTCAACCACTCACTGCTTTGCAGCTTCTTCATCTGAATGGGAATAAAAAGGTAACTCCGTTTACAGAAAGACACTCCCTAATGGGAAATGCCACACTCAACTCTCCCACAGGGTGCAAGGGCACGCTTCTGCTTCTCCGTGTTCACATGCCCATCACTTGAGGCAGCAAGCAGCTCATATTTTCAGCACAACCACCTCCCTCGAGCTCCGTAACGCTCTTCAAGAGAACTCAGGGCATACCAAGAAGCTGCAGCACCACACTGGGAACATAACAGGCATCTGGGCTCAGCACAGAAGCAGCACAGAGAAACAAAAACTGAAGCTTGATGATGCACACCCACAAGTAGGGACCCATTTCATTTGAGAACTGCATTTCCTACCACACAGCTATGCTGTTTGCGAGCACCCAACTTCTGCTGTAGCGAGTGACCACACACTGGAACAGCTCTCTCCATTCCATTATCAGGGGGGTAAGATCTAAAAATCAGAATCACTGAAGAGCGCACAAAAGAGGAAAACTCGAAGTTTTTCCTTATTTCAAATTGCTACAGTGGGAGGCACGAGTTTCCCATTTAGAAATGCACTGGAAACTCTGCAGGACCAGAGAGGGTCTACGGATATGGCCCTGGAAGAGCTTTTAGCATTGATTTGGTGGCATCTAGCTTTACCACAGGCTGGAGTCTGGCACACTAACAGCGCACATAGACTTGAAAACTCATCGAGCAACAGTCTTGAACACCGTACAGAGGAGGCTTCCAGCGTGAACTCTCGTAACTTCCGCTCTGGAGTCCCCAACACAAGAAGGACATGAAGCTGCTGGAATGAGTCCAGAGGAGGCCACAAAGATGATCTGAGGGCTGAAGCACCTCTGCTATGAAGACAGGCTGAGAGAGTTGGGGCTGTGCAGTCTGGAGAAGAGAAGGCTCTGGGGTGATCTTCTAGCAGCCTTCCAATACTTAAAGGGGCTACAGGAAAGCTAGAGAGGGGCTTTTTA